CCGGGGTAATATATCGTATTCTTATGCCGTGCCCGATCATAAAATATGCAATCCGTTCGAGGATATAAAAATTCTCCAACATTGTTCACCTCGACAAATTGTTGTGGAGGGTGGATGAGTATTTTTGCTTTAAGTATTTTGATTTTTTATTTCAATTTTTAAAATCTTAGATTTTGGTGATTTTTGAGTTTTGAATTTTTGTGGAATTTGGGAGGCATTTTTAAGTATTTGGGGTTCCCTTGATTGAGATTTTCTGTCAACACGGCCATCATCGAGGTATATGGGAGATTTCAATTTTTTTATTGATCTTGTCAACTCTGTCTACTTGCCGACAAATGATCAAGTTCGTTGTCGGCTTTATGCCTTTATTAGTGAATTTTTTTGGTTATAGACCTTGAAGGCCTAAGATGAACATGTAAAATAAATATCTCGATCGATGCCGCGATTGTGCATTTGTTTGACAGCTCAAGCCATGTCGACTTCTATATATTCATGTGGAAGGATCAGGCTCGAACTAAAATTCATTTCTTGACCCCCGTAGCATCCTCAGACTTCACATTTGTGTATAAGACACACTCATTGGGGCTCTTGCTGGTAATCATATTTTAATGCATAGGGGAGCATTTAAATATTTAAATATAATTATTTACGTTAAGTGATTGTCATTAAAGTTTGCGCAAAATTTTATTTGAAGCTTGAGAAGCGCCCTTTGTCCACTTGTACGAGTGTTGCGGATCCGAAAGTGTTGTTTAGCAGCGCGCTTTCACACGTCATTTGCAGATCATGGGCAACAATAGCATTATGGTATAATGTATGGCATGGTTTAAAATTGCGCAATATGAGCTCGCCTTGAGGCCCGCCTTTGCGCAATTCCAGTAAAAAACGCCTTGATGCTTACGTCTCGAGTTTTTTTTTATGAGGCTTGCGCCTCCTCAACTTGGTTAAGGCCCGCCTTGAGGCCCGTCTCGCCCCACTAGCTTGAGGCTTACGCCTCACGCTATATATATTAAAACTTACATAAATCTTGAAGTAAATGCCCGACATTGGACTCTATAGGAGAGGAGGAAGAGGAGAGAGCAGTTCACCATAATGATGATTCAAATGAAGAACCCCTTAGTGATGACAGTGCTGATGACTTATGAGTTCTTATGTGATATGTCATTGCTATTTATTTTTGAAAATTTGAATTATATGTTAATGAAAAGAATACTGGGATTTGGAAAAGATAGAATTTCGAGTTGAACTATATTTCATGTTGTCTTATTATTGAGATATTTTGATTTCACTTCATATCTTATATTTTTTTATGTTTTATATTATTCACTCATTAGTATATAAAAAATTTATCATTTTATGTTTACGCAATCTTTTGATTTTGAGGCTTACGCCTCGCCTCACGAACGAAAAACGCCTCAATACCCGAATACACAATTTTAAACATTGATGTATGGTGAACAACAGTTCCTACCTTCAGAGCTAATGTCTTGGCGATCTCAAGCCTCTCCTGTAATACTCTGTTAATTTTCAAGAGACCGCAATCCTTTGGAGGTTCAACAAAATAGACAATTAATGCCTCTGACAACTGTAGAAAGGATGCTCAAGCTCAAGTTCTGCAACTCACAATTGCCTAAAACCTGGCCTCCAGCTTCAATAGCAAGCTTTCCCAAGTTGCATTATAGGAAGTTTCGATGAAATCACTAAAGTTGAAAGTTGGTTGAAAAGTTTTGGGGACTTTTGCATGGCTGAAATCCTTCCACTTTTTTGGGCCATTAAAGCATCCATGCATATCAGGAGTGATCACATAATTTTCTTCGTGAAGAGGGTGTTCATCTTTTGAGCATGCTCTGATCCAACCTACATTTAGAACCCCTCTATCATTCAGAATAGTCATTAGATGCTTCATTGTTCAGATGCATGCTCCATCCTCATTTTCTCGTCTTTAGAGAGATTAGCTCCACAAATCATCCAATCCTTGCTTAGATTAGATAAGGACGTCCAAATTGCTTGAGTCCATTTTATGATAGATGAGGTATTATAATTTGATGAAACCAAATGCTTGACTGATGCATTATTAGATTTCTTTGTTTTTGATTTATCACATAATGCAAGCTTCATTTAACACTGCTTCATGTTGTATGCATTATTTCTACTGTTACCCAGATGCGAGCTGTATTGATTTCAAATCTTTTAGTGTCACCCGTAGATGCCTGCATTTACCACATTTCTTCTGCATCTTGCCTGTAAGTAGAAGTAGTGTGTAAGATAAATCTCCTACAGTGGCTCATAGGTGCTTGTAATTGTTGCAAATCAACCATCTTTGTTTGCAAGATACCGATGTATTTGTTGAAAGCTTGATTATTGTTTAATGTATGATCACCTTGGCATTTATTGCATGATGCCTGTGTGTGTTTACAGGAAATATCATCATTTGTCAGCAAGTTTAGTGTGTTTATTTATACACTACTATTGACTATCGGTTAAGCTACATTCACCTCCAATCTCTTCACGCATGTTGGCTAGCGAGATGCTATATTCATTCCACATTGGCACGCATGTTGGCTAATGAGATGCTATATTCATTCCATATTGGTTTTCCAATGTTCATAGGAGACCGATACATTTGACAGCATGCTATTATTAGCTATTGATTGAGCTGCATTCGCCACTAATTTCTCCATACTTGTTGACTGGCGAGTCGTTACATTCATTTCATATTGACCTTCAGTACTCATAAGGAATGATAAACATGTTTGCAAATTATTGTTGTAGGGAATATTTCCATTTGCAAATAGGTTTTGTATCTTCGTTTGCATGTCGATGTGGGCTACCAGTTGAGCTACATTCATTACTGGTTTCCATACGCACACTGATTGGTGAGTTGCATTCATCATAAAATTCTTTATGTACATGCTGGCTGGCAAGTTGTTCAATGCACACCTGTCCCTTCTGCTTGCAGGGTACTATTGATGTGAGTGTTGCACATTGATTACTTGATCTTTGTTTGCACACCTGTCCCTCCTGCTTGCATGTTCTTAGCTCTGGATCGGGAGAAGGGACCGGATCATACAAACTTGAGAGGTGGTCTTCGGTTGGAATTGATCGAGGTGAATGTGAGTTGGGGTTGGCTACAGGAGCTGCAGGCTGACGGAATTGAGGGTATGTGGCTTGAGGACAGACGGTCAGGAAGAAACGGGAAGAGCATGGTTGGAGGCTTTGAATCGGAGGGGAGGTTCGAGCTGGCTAGAAGGTGAAGTGGTGAGGACGGGTGTGTAGATGCAAGGAGAGAAGGTCGAAAGGTTTGCGGGAGTTTGCGGTTGGAGATCTAAAGTGAGTCAGGTGTAAGAGGAAGAAGCAACGATATCTATGGCGCTTGTGAGGAAGTCGGAGGCTGAAGATGGGAGCTGTTCGAATGTGGAAGGAGTTCAATTGAGTGCGAGCTAAACGAAGCAATATGCTTCATCCTTAATTTAAGGACGAATAGAGATTTCATGCGTATGAGCAGAGGTCATGTGAAGATCGTAGAAAGTCGTCGTCGACGTGAGGAATTCGTGGCTGGACGTCAAGGCTGCAGGCGAGGTAAGGAGTCGGATTTGATTTCGATTGATTTTTTTTTATAATAATAATTAATAACGGAAATCAAAATGAAAATTTATCTTGAAAAACATACAATTTCCTTAAAATTTGTGCATCGTCGCCGGTTTCCTCACTCGATTTTTGTTGAGCAAAGTTATAGTCATTCTTAGGTGACTCGGACGTTCCGAACGCAACAACGAAGTCCGTTTTGCTATTGGACGTCTTTTGGGAAGTGACTATGATACAATACTTGTTACTCAATTTATCATTCCACTATAGAGATTATTTTCTTGATTCATGCCCGTGACTTCTCAATCACAATGGAGGCAGCATAAATATATATTTCAGGGTTTTCTTCTAGTAGATATTTTAATTTACCATGATAAAAGATGTTATATTTTTAATATAGTACAAAGTTCCATTAGAACAACCGTATGATTGCTGTGGTCCCTAATATATCAGTCGCCTAAACTGAAAGTTACAGAGAATCTAAATTGATTAGAGCACCTCTCTTAATTTTTGCTATTTCATCTATAAGGTCTGGAAAGTGGGCATTTCTTATCCTCTATGATCCCTGCTACTTGAAACTCTTTAAGATATGCAACTAATAAATTGCATCAAAATTCCAGCAATAATGGTATATAGCTTGGCTTACTCTATTTGGTCTTGGCCACAATGGTCAATGTCCTTAGTTGCATATATGTGATTAAATTGAATCCCTTAGATATCTGGGACTAAAATGGCCTTATGTAATAGTACAAGGACCATTTTGAGCTTTTTCTTTTTTTATATTATGTATTTATTAATTAACCTTCAAAATATTATCAAAATGAAAAATGTTGATTGTATTAGGGAAAATCTCCGCCCTACCAAGGCATGTACTAGTCATATCGTATTGTTAATATTGCAAAATAAGCATGACAATATTTTATGCATGAAAGCTATGTTAGAGCATGTCTATGTCCCATTTGGACATGAGTCTTTTTGAAAAATTCAGGCTTCATAGGATATATTCTGCCTTTTAGACATATCTACATTGTTTTGGTTTTAGTCTCTTCATTTGGGCAACATTTACTTAAAATCCACCTGCACTCAAACTACTCAGGGGCCTAGGGCGTACTTTGTAAATGCACCTAATCAAACTATTGAGGTTGCTTGATCCATTAAATGCGGTGGGAATTTGAATGTTATCATTTATATATTTAATTAAAATCTATGTTCTATTCATTTCTCTTTAAATGTGACGGGGAAGTTGAACGAATAATAAGAGCTTCTAAAAGAAATTTAGGTTCAACTTTGCCTATTTATTTCTTCTTCTTTTAGTTCTGGATCTCTATGTGCAAGTACTCTTTAATTTTATGTCCAAGAAATTCTTTAATGTTATGACCAATATTTTCTTCGATGATCTTAAAAAGAATAAATTACTAGATAAAGTTGCCTCAATTACAGTAACTGCTCTCATCAGGTATTTAAGTGAGTTGATTTGTCTCAAATGCTAGCTCCAAATGGGCTTGTTAGATAGTTTATTAGTTGAGCTGGTCCTTTTATAAATAAGCTTAAGCTTGAGCTTGTCCTTATTATTGGTGTTCTTCTTGGATGATGGCATGGACTCATGCAGTTCTATGTAGTCATAAAGAAAGCGAAGCTACTCAAAGTAGAAAAACTCCATGCGTTGCTAGGTATCATACTGTCTTACACCTTTGTTTTACCGTGGCATCCTTTGTCGTACAAAAGACTACTTGTTTTACTTTAATTGACTTCAACAATTTTGTACTACGTTTAAATTTATTCAACCATTTATTTGATTATAATCATGACAAAACAAAGTTTCATCATTTCAACGTAACTTAAAATTTGGAATAAAGTTTCTTTTTTTGTTTTTGCTATTACATGTAGAAATTATGTACTGTGGAATATGATATGATGAAAACCACGGCCATTTTCTTGCAATCTTTAGATTCCCCCGTAATTTATAATTGGTTTCCTTTTTCACCATGCTTAAGTTCTCTGTGAAATTATCTAGTTGATCTCAGTTCAACTACAAATTTGATGGTTGTTTACATCAATAATGTCAAAAAAATTGCACTCGTGAAACCCTAATCTCTCCATAAACAAAATTCAAATTTTGCATTTGAAGAGATTGAGAGTCTAGCATCATTTAAAACGAATACTTTCACTCACAATATGACCATTAATGCATCTAACTTTTGCTTGTAGATTGCCAATCATCTTAATCGAGCTGTTGCCAACTTTGGAAGAAAGCCTCTGAAGGTTTTTGTCCAAGTGAATACCAGCGGAGAGGAGTGTAAGTTGTGAAAGCGTGACCTTTTTCTAAGCATTCTTTCTCTGTACGTTTTAGCAACATAATATTACAAGTCCAGCATCCGCTGTATTATTGTCATCCTAAGATTACTTAGGATCTCCATTTTTTTATCTGTCTTTCTCGTTTATAAATGATTCAGCTGCAAGTTCGAAGGTCTTAAAAAAACTTGCAAAAAAGATATCCTTTGTAATGTTGTGGCTATCGATGGGATATTGTATGGGTTTTACAAAATGGTTTTTCTTCTTTTGATCTGTAGCATTGACATATCTCCCTTCGAATCCCTTTGAATCCTTAATTAAACTTCCATAACTCTTTGCAGCAAAATATGGTGTAGAACCCTCTGGATGTGTGGAGCTAGCAAAGCATGTCAAATTTGGCTGTCCTAATCTCATCTTCTCTGGCCTTATGACAATAGGAATGCTCGACTATTCCTCAACTCCAGAAAATTTCAACGTGCTTTCTCAAACTTCAAGTAGCCTATTGTTGCATCTTATTTCAACACCTTCATTTGTCTGATTATATTCTTTTGAAGCAGACATTGCGTAGGTGTAGGAATGAGGTCTGCGAAGCTCTTGGTATCCCGGAGGAGCAGTGTGAGCTTTCTATGGGCATGTCTGCAGACTTCGAGCAAGCCGTAAGTACCTCATAAAATTAAACCTTAAAAATATTGTTGCCTTCTGCTTATTTACTTGATAGATGATAATTTTGACAAATTTCCTTTTGTATTGTTAGAACTTCAAACCACCTTCCAATCCTTAAAATGCTTCTTCTTAAGTTTCGTTTGAGATAGTTTTCTTACTGTTTTTTAAGCAGCTTTCTAACCTTAAAAAAAAATTATCATAGCAATAAAAAAATGATGACAAAAAAAAGTTTCAAACCAAATCTTAGATTTCGTTTGAGAAGTTTTCTTACTGCTTCTTAAAGCAACTTTTTTGTACAAAAATTTTATTTTTTTAATCAAAAAGCTGTTTTTATAAAGCATTAAGAAAGATGCCCCAAACGAAACCTTAATATGATGACTTGATTAATGGCTTTGTTTGATGAATTAACACTGTTAATTTTGCAGATTGAAATGGGAAGTACTAATGTTAGAATAGGATCAACCATCTTTGGACCAAGGGAGTACCCCAAGAAAGATAAAGACAGTGAGCCAAAAACCTGAAGTTCATGAACTATAGGATTGCATTTTTCATGGGACAATAAGAAAATATAACAGGGTAAGTTGCTTTTGTTATACATTATTCCAGCCTATATGATCAGAGCATGTTATTCTGATAGGTACTTATGATTATATTTTTTATGCATGGAGAATGATTTCATGAATATTATTGTAGATGCAGGTCCACAATGTTTAGTCTCGATCATCATTGAATAAGCTCATAAGCTCATGAATTCAGTAGAGCAGTTGAAATTCTGTAAAAAGATTTATATTTTTTATATAGAATATTTTAATAATAATAGGATCTAATCTTATATTAATCTAAGTTTTATTTCGTTGTTGTATGTGCTATTATAAAGTACTTATTTTCACGTATATAATCATTTTACATTTGTCTTCAAGTGTGAAGCCCCATTCACGTGAGCATCCTCAGCAATTAACTTAATTTTATGCTTTTCTTTTAATAGCCAATATTTTATGTCAAAAATCATTATAGGTCTAACTACTTATTTTATAAAATTTTCTTTTAAAATTGAGTGGTATTTTTTTATCACATGGTAGGTTTGATGCATTCCTCCATTTTAATCATCAATCCAATTTGAATTATGCTTCTAATAATATCATTATCTATTTCACCGTTGCTTTGAAAAATATACTTGAATATTTTAAACATGTATTTTTGTTAATGACTTGATCATCCATTATGATAACCCTGATCTATTAGTATTAAGATTACACTCAATGTATTTAATTTTAGATTTACTTAAATGAAAATTTTTAGTTTCTAAGATTGACCTCCATAATTCGCTTTTTTTATCAATTCCTCTCCAAATAAGAAGAATATCATAAAAAAAAGCATATAAACAAGTTCATCCTCATGCAAATGTCTAGTATGAATATATATGACTAAAGCAAAAATATATGGTTTAAAGTTGATCCTTGATGTAATCCAATTTATAGAAAAATACTTGGTCAAATCACCTTGTATCATGCATATATATTTATAATGACTTGAATTTAAGCATTATTAATTCTTTTTTTCCCTAATACTCTCTAGAGCATTTCTCTTTGAACTTTATTATGTGTTTTTTCTAAATCAATAAATATCATATATAGATCATTATTATCTTTATACTTCTCCATCAAACCTCAATAAATGTATAACTTCAATAGTAGGCCTACTCAACATAAATCCAAATTGATTTTGAAAACATTAATATCACATTGTAACTTATGCTCAACTAATCTCCACCTTAGTTTTAATTTATGACACATTAACTTAATTCTTTTATAATTTGCATTCTTATGTATCACATTTATTCTTAAAAATAGGAACTAACACGCTCCTCCACTCAACTACCACATTTTTTTGTCCCCAAAATAATATAAAAAAATGTAGTAAGCGAAGAAATTCCTTTATCTCCTAAGAATTTTTATACTTTTATTGAAATATCATCACCAAATATTATTAATCTAGCTTATAACAAATCAAAATTTAAATTCCCCAAATATATCATTTTGCAATTCCTCAAATCAATCTAAACTAAAGAAATCATTAAATGCTCAAAATCAAATCTAACTAAATCTAATTTTATTTTGGATCTTGTTGACTGTCTCAATTAACATCAATATGTGGGTGGTTGGGAGTCTATTTATTGAGGTCATTTTAGAATGAGGTCAATGCCTACTTCCCCTTAGGTTATGCTTAACACCTAGGTCTCCCTATCCTAGCAAAAGAGTGACCTATGAGACCCCTAAAAGAGGTAATCCAAGGACATATGACTAACTAGCTCGAGAAAGATAGAACCTGATAAACACTACCTAATGGCCTTAGGAAGCCGTATAACTCAATAAAAATCCAAATCCTAGATGAAGTCTAGTTTAAAACCCAAAACACCTAAAACTATCAAATTGGCACTAGGCTTACCCTAGTGACATAAACTTAGCCTGATGATTTTTCCTTTGACTCTAATTGAACCAAATATATATTTAAGTCATTTATAGACATTGTTGACTCTTAGAGAGTCCCTTTGATTAAGGTCAAATCATGGTTGACAAAAAAATATCAAAATTTCTATTTTGCCTTATCCTTGAAAAAATTTGGTTCGAAACTAATCCCTTAACCCTGAGTTTGGGCCAAACTAATCCAAGACCCCTTTTGGATCAATATGACTCACCCTTGACTCTTGGTCATGCCTTGTCAACCACAAGTTGACCTTAAAATTCAAAATACCCAAATTGACACTATATGACCTAACCATGGTTCTTTAGGCTTATACTCATCCCTAGGCCCTAGGTTAATTACAAATGATCTAAACTAGTTCTAGGGCATTCCTAAACCCAACCCAACCAATGGTCAGCCATGCTTAACCATTATTGAGCTAAATTGCCAAAATACCCCTTTCGACTAGCCCTTGGTTTTCATATTTCAACCCATGATTAATTAATAACCAATGGATTAAAACTTAGCCATATGACCCTAGGATCCTAACCTTGCTCCCTAAGCCAGTCTAACCCCTTGGTCTAACCCAAGCTAACACAATGGGTTGATTTTAGTGAACACAGAATTAAAAATTCAACTCAATTCCAACCAGTCAAATTAACCCACACTAAATCATTCCCTAGACAATTAGAACATACTGAAAGCTTTTTCAACTTTGCCTACCACTTTGCCTAGCTAGGGTGGCTGAAAATGGTCATGCTTGATTGAGTCATGTGTCCATTCTACCTCAATTGATAGATCGTAGCTTCCCCAGTAAACCTAATTGCTTGGGAAGCCTTTGGAAACCTAATTCCTTCCTAGAAAGCTTGATCGAAATCCTATAAATACCCCTTTTCAAGCTTAGCTCAGGTTTGGCATTTGATTTCTCTAGCTTCTATAATGCAAGAGCTATTTAATCCCTCTCATTCCCTAGCCTTTAAGAGCCCTTTGACAGTGAATTTGAATAAGCTCCAGTGAGCCTCCATGATTGAAAACTAACTTTCAACTTGATTTGCTTTAGGCTTTAAGGTCTTCAATAATAGTGTTCCCCAAGCCTAGTTGAATGTGTTATAAGCAAAAGCCCCTCAAATCCCTATTGAATTAAGGCAAATTTAATTCCTGAGCCTATGCTTTTTGGGTTTTGAAACATTCTGAGGTGAATGTGCAATCTATAATGTCCAACACATTAAATTGCACACTCATAATCCCTTGACCTTCATGGATCAAATTTGTATAGTTCCAATCGATGGACCTCTAAGATCATTGAATTTTTTATGGATGGATATGGTTTATGATGGTAGGTTGAAAAATGAAATTATAGTCATCACTACAAGAAAAACTGTTAGTTCTTGTGGACTTTCCGATGGATAGACACCCGCCAGAAATATCGGTGGAAAGATCGGCAGTATTTTCGACGGAAGTTATCCGGCGGGGTTTCTGGCAGATTAGCCACCGGAAGTTTCCATTGGACAATCATCCAATAATCCACTAGTTTGCATAAAGCCAGCGTAATGTATTGACGAAAATTTTGCCAGAATGATTCTAGCAGTTGTGCCAGCGGATTATCCATCGGCTAAATTTGCCGGCAAAAAGCCCTATATCTAACCCAGCCCATCTTCCCTCTTATTACACTATCGTTTCATCTACCTCACACGATTTCTCCTCCCATTCCTGCTCTTATCAAAATCATCTCCCATGGGTTCGTCATTTTTTGCCATCGGTGATTGTTCCTGCTCAATTATCGCCAGGGCTTAGTTCTCATTCACTGTCGATTCTCATTTGTCGTCCGTTCTCCGTAAGTTTTTCATATGCAACCATAGTTTCCATTACAATATACACGTTTATCAAAACTTCTAGTGCATGGTAAGTTTTGTGGGTGCTATAGTATTTACTAATTTGATTTTTCTTTTTGATTTTAAGACTCCATTTAATTTTTATTCTAGGGGTGATTTGAATTCAAGTGGTTACCAATTTATTATTTTAATTTGAATCTTACAATGTAGGATTTAATATTTTAGTATGGTTATAAATAACTCTGAACATTATCGCCCAGGTATGAACAATATCATTAAAGTGTTCTAAGACATAGTGAGATGTACACCTAAGGTGAAGGAAATGTCTCAAGTAATGCAAGGTGTATTTTATGGCTTTTACTAATGGGAAGATTTTAAATTAATGAAAAAATAAATTTAGAGAAGTTTCAAACTTACTCATTTTTTAAAATAATAATGGAGCTGAACCAAACTTGTCCAATGAATCTTTCTGATCAAAGCTTCTTTATAAACTCATTAATTAATTTTATATATATATATATGCCCATTAATGGACTTATAATTATGGGAAGTCGATAAGCCTGGCAATAAGTCTTACATCCTTTGAATGAGAATGCCTCTAAACTCCACGAATTTGAATTTTAAAACTTTATAATTAAACTTTTAATGTAATATAAAATAAACATTTCATAACCAAAAAAATTTGACTTTATATGTAACACTCATAGACTTTGCATGTAACACATCATTATACACTTACTAAAAATCACATATATAATTCTGACGGATGTGTAAATACAATATCTAATAATTTCGTATTATATATAGGATAAATTCTTTATATTATGAATATTAGGAATTAAAGAAGTTAGATGTATAACCGATTGATGCAAGCACGAAAAATATTAACATATGAGTTTATTAATGGGGTGAATTTTTTCATCCATGCAACCTATCAATTGCCTTGCTTTATCTTGGATGGAATGTTTCATTTTTCGTTCTCTAAATATAAAAATCAAGTGCACCTCACACTAGATGAGGTAATTGTTGATTTATATCACAGAGGATTTATGCTATAATATTTATTAAACTTTTCATTGTGAGTACGAGCTATATTTCGACTCTCGATGCGACCCGTTTACAAGTTCTAATATATATGAGGAAGAAAATATCCGAACGCTCAATGACATAGTTTATAATGCAACTAGGATACAATTTGAATAATATATAAAAAGTCACTAAATAAGTAGGTAAAGAACTTCTATGATTTGTTGCATGCTGCTCAACAACCAATTTAGAAGAGGTACATTACTCACTCAAAGGTATATGTTACTGTGAAGATGTTAAGCATCAATACATAATATAATATCTCCTGTGAATATTTTAATCAATTTGTCGGGCTGGTTAAGGACCAATCTGGTAGATAACATAATTCTTATAGTTTAATATCAAACTAAGCAATTGGTTTCCAAACTTGGTTTGATATATACTAAAATAGATTATTGTATTAATGAATGCATGTTATACTAGAAGAGATTGTATGCCGCCATAGCAATGCACCAAGATTTAAACTGAAGTTTATGATGTAAAGAAAGAAGAATGATGTACTAGTCAGTAGGATATTTTACTTACTCATAATCCCTATACTGCAAATTATATGCATCTATGAGCTCTAGTGCACATATGAAATGACATAACGAACATATCTTGCAAGTATGTATTATGACACGGCCGTTAGAAGTAGAGGCATATAAATCCTTTGACCTTACACATCCCACCCTTACCACAAAATCAAGAAATATAAGATCAGGGTTATGCGCAGATAATTTTACTCTATTTAGTCAATCTGCTTCACCTTACTCATGCTGGCCTATGATACTCACACATTACAATATTCCTCCAGAGTTATGTATGACTACACTATACATGTTTCAGACACTTATCATTCCAATGTCACATAATTCAAAAGTAAAGATCGATGTATTCTTGCAATCTTTAATCAATGATTTAAATTTATTATGGAAAGGAGTAAGTACATATGATAGCTCTACCAAATAAAATTTCATAATGTGGGCAACATTACTTTGGACAATTAGTGACTTTCCTATATATGATATACTTTTAGGTTGAAACACTTTTAGCAAGTTAGCTTGTCCATATTACATGAATTTTACTAAGTCATTCATTTTGAAGCATGGAGGCTAGAACACTTGGTTCAACTATCACCGTATGTTCTTACGTACAAATCATCATTTTAGGCAAAATAATGATGCTTTTACTAAAAATAAAATTATAATGTTGAAGCCTCCTCTGAGATTAACCAGTGAAAAAATATTTGAAAGAGTAAGGTGCATACCTACAACAGTTGATTCTCCAACACAAGATGATTACAAATTGTTAGAGTATGAAGTCAATCACAATTTGATTAAAAAGAGTATTTTTTAATCCTTATCATATTAGAGAATAAACTTGATTAGACATATCTTAGATGTGATGCATATGGAAAAAATATTTTATATACTTGATTACTTAATTTTCTGATTGACATAGGCGAGGAACTCGAGCTCATTGTAGATTGCCTTGTAGATTGAATTCACAGAATACACCTTCAAAAAAATTAAAGAAAATGAAGACATGTATAAGTAAACAATTCCTTGGCATTCAATTCATTCCAAAAATACACATTGACATTTCATCAAACACCTATTGTGCATTTCTAAAATTACAAACACAACATAGTTAATGAAAACTTAAGAAGTTCACCCTAAACAACTAAAGCAGAAGATCTGTAACATGGTGCCAAATGGACTAAATAACAACCAAAACTTCATATTAACCAGTCGAATATAAAACTGTTAAAAAAAAAAAACTGGAAGGCATAACCTGCCGTGCGATAGGCCGAACAAGGCGAGCTCCGACCTTGAAGAGGTGAGTGTCGAACGTTTAAGAAGGGCCTAGTTGTGAGTTGATAAGCTCCGACGTTGATAAGCTCCGACGTTGAAGAGGCGAACGAGTGCCTAGAGAGGGCGGAGAGGGCGGATGTGCGAATACTGGCGGAGTGGGGAACGGGAGACGGAACAAAACTGACGGAAGTGCTATAAAAGTCTTAGAATGATAGTTTGAGGTGGTATATTAGTAAATAGGTAACTTTAGGTGTTTAATAGATAAATATAGCAGTTTTAAGTGTTATACATGTAAAAACTCCTTAATAATATTATTATCATTTTTTATGTCATCCCGTTCGAATCCGTCGAACCTTGATTCGGTTCGTTGTGGTTTTAACAATCTCACATAAAAGTGTTATAATATACTGAAAAGTAAAAAATCCTTCGTTTTGCTTCGTCACTTTACCCAATAGGCATATTTTCTCCCACCACAAACTCAAAGGCGAAGCAGATTCCATCACAAGGATCCACAAGATCTCTTATCTTCTTCCACCCCCGCCTCCCTCCCTCTACAGCCGACCAAATGCAAGCCCACGGCTTCCTCCTCCCGCCCAATCGCTTCCCCCTGCTCTCCTCCACGCCTCTATCCTGCATACCCATCCCAACTCAATCAGCGGCGCCATTAATACGCTGCACCTCAACCAGCAACACCACATCACAACCCCTCCCCCTTTCCATATCAGACGCCGAGCTCGCGGCACGCGGAATCCGCGTCCGGCGCTGCTCCGCCGGTCTTGACCTAGAGGCCCTCAACGCCGTGTTCGCCCGCGTGGGATTCCCACGGCGTGAGGCGTCGCGGCTCCGTGTGGCGCTCGAGCATACGGACGCGTTAGTCTGGCTCGAGGAAAACGGCGACGGAGGCGAAGGGGTTCCCGTTGCTTTTGCGAGGGCGACGGGAGATGGGGTTTTCAATGCGGTGGTGTGGGATGTGGTTGTGGATCCAGCGTTGCAGGGGACTGGGTTAGGAAAGGCGGTTATGGAGCGGCTTTTGGGAGATTTAAGGGATCGTGGGATTGTTAACATTGCGCTGTACGCGGAGCCGAAGGTGGTTGGGTTCTATCGAATGCTGGGCTTCGCGGCTGACCCGGATGGGATCAAAGGTATGGTTTACTCCCGTAGGAAGAACAGGAGATAGAAGAAACCATCTGGTTTGGATATTCCATGAAAAACGTTTTTTTTTTTTCAGAAGGAAATGTAAGATAGTCATTCCTGTTCTATTTTGAATAAAATACATGATTATCTGTAAATTATAATCTGTTCTGATTGTATGATGCGGTAAAAAGTTCATTTTTTTCGTTTGATCTCTTAAAAAATATGACCTTTTATATGGATTAAGAAGCTTGTCAATGATGATTGTTCAGCACTGCCACTATTGCTTAAGTTAAACGCCTTTATGATACCAATGCGCACATCTTTTTATAAAGGATGCATTGAAGAGTGTATAAAGGATGCGTTGAAAGAGTGTATAAAGGATTGATCATAGCAACCATCAATAGTATAAAATTATGAATGATCATCAATAATCTTTGTGCATAGTCGACAAGCAGCATATTTTGAGTAGAAAAACGCATCTGAGAGCAGCCAAGAAAACAAAATCAAGAGAAAGCATCATTTAAGCCAAAATTGTAGAGAGAGAATCCATGGGGTATCTCCTCTTTAAATTTTCATTTTCTTGTTTTTGACTTGTATGTCAAATTTTGATTAATTTTCAAGAGAATCAAATGGAGTTATTGCACCCCCAAAATCAGTACTGTTTCTTTCAATCCATTTGTAATGAGCTAAATTTTGAAGAGCCGATAGAAATAACATTCTTGTAACCTTTTTAGATAGGATTTTCGTGTAGATGACAAAGAAAATTATTTTAACATTTTTAGATATGATTTTCGCCTGGAGGAGGGCTTGCAGAAAAGTACATCCCAAATGAAAAAGATACTAAGAGGAATGCATTTTTGTAAGATGGACATAACCAAGGACAATTCAAAGATTAAGTGATTATGAGATTCACTGTATTCTTGTCACAGATCATGTAAAGATCATTCTCTATTTGGTAACGGAGAAGGGTTTCTCCGTCGGGCTGAGTACTGAAAGAGTTTTCTACATATTAAAATTCTTAAAAAGTAGGACCTCAAGGAGTAGACGTAGGTATGGTGATCGAAACATTATAAATACCGCTAGTTTGCATTGTTTACTTTTCCTCCACCTTTGCTTTTCTGCTTTTGATTTACTTTGCATATTTTTGCGACATCATTTGTGGAATTGATTTGGTTAATCATTTACATAAATTTTTTTTAAATAATATCTTAAAAACATAAGAACAAAAAATATTTTTTCTTTTGTATGTCTCAAATATCTTATTTTAAAAATTTTAATCGCTTTTGAACAGTACTCTATTTTTAATAAAAGTTTTTAAAATATCAATTCTACCCCTCTATTAGTGTGCCATAGCAAAACCTAATAGGTTAATTACCCACACAACCTAGCACATACTTTAATTTTTTTCTTAGGTTAACCTATCCTAATCTTAGATTAGGCTCTTTGTTATGATTTAATGTGATTTATGTGATGATTTCTTTTTTGATGTGAAAAATTAAATGATTTGTATGGATGGGTGCAAATGTTTGAATGATTGAATTATTCTATGAATGTTGATGTGATTTGTAATGAACATTTAGGTGCCTTTTGATTAAGGGCACTTTGGATGTTTATTATTAATTATTTTTTTACAGATGAACATGCTTATATAAGACTATTAAAAGAGGGGGCCAATACTCATTAAAATTATAACAAATAAATTTTTTTGCTGGTGGTTACAAATAAAGCTGCTTAGTCTCATCTTAAATTAAAAAAAAAATATGGCAAAAAATAACTAGTTGCTCAATTGTAAAGCAAGGCACTATGTATGATGATTTGTTTGATAGATTAAGGCTTCGTTTGGGACGACTTTTTTACTGGTTCTTAAAGCAGTTTTTTAGTAAAAAAAATAAAAAAATTTCGACTAGAAAGCTAAGACGGCTTTTTTATTGTTTTTTAAAGTAGTTTTTCAGTACAAAATTCTTAATTTTTGCATTAAAAAGTTTCTTTAAGAAGCTATAAAGAAGCCATCCCAAATCAAAGCCTAAATATAAATTATTGTGCTAATCTTGTAAGTTGTCTATATTCTTTTTCTCTTTTCAAATATGAATTAAAATGTAAAAACTAAATGAGATTTTTTTCCAAAAGAGAGACAAAAGAATGAACCTTTTAAATTTATTTTTTTTGAAAACCTTCTAAAAGATGATAAATGCTGAAGAATTTGAAAATTCTCATTTATATGACTTGCATCATTCTAGGATTACAATCCGGTTGTAATTTAAAAGCATTACCCTCCTATTTATATAAATGGGTGTAATCAAGTGGTATTTGCCACATTTTGAATTTAGACTTTGCTTTATTTTATATTTATACATGTTATGGAAGTTTGGTGAGTGATCTGTTTATTTTAAAAGTTTCATTAATAATTGATACGTCATCACAAAAGTATCGCGGTAAAGAGTAAGAGCACGTGGCGACATTTTATTGGTGCCCGGATGTAGAGCTACGTCAGGTGTCCGGACCTAATAAAAATTCGTGCTTGAATAAGCTACATGACTTTTGCCTTTCCATTAATCAATAAAAAAGTTACATGAATAATGCTTAAAAAGAAATAAAACGGAGAAACAATAGGAAGAAAACAAAGTTCAGAAAACACCATAAACATCAGCTATAGAAACAAAATTGGAAATAAATAAAAAATTGCAAGCAAACAAAATCAAATAAGAACCAACTGAAGAAAGGCTTAAAAAGCCAACTTGGAATCAGTAAAAGATTATTTCGTCTTCAGATATCAAGGCAGCACTACCCTTGGTTGCCTAGAGACCTTCCAAGGGATTGAGTGTGGCAGGTGTTCATCATCGTCCAAAGCCCAAAAACTTAGAAAACTAGAACCTGCCTTGCTCGATCATAAACTTCCAAAATCTCAATGAATACCAAGCAGTTAGACGATCATTAGTCAAAGCAGCCAACCAGAGAGTCTCGAATCAAAGACAATAAACTGTGCTTGTAGAGATTAGTTTCTACTGAGAGTTTCCAGACCAATAATGAGCCAAAGACTTATAGATGATGACTCTTTTCCTTCATGATACTCCCTTCTTTCCATGTTGAAATTTTGAGATTCACAGACTTGGCAATATGAATGGCAAGGGTAGTAGGACAAATTGCTCCACTATCAAATATTCTGGTATTATGCTCCCACCAAATGTGATAAAAAATAGCATTAGGGTCAATAATAAAATATTTTTGAAATTTTTCTCTCCAGGCAAACCCCAATAAATTCATAAGTCTACAAGACATTAGGTCTTAACAAAAAATTCTGACATTGAGGAAGTAGACAAATCAGGACATCAAAGAAGTAATAACAGTCAAAGCAAATATGAGAAAATGTTTCATTGCAGCCTTGACAAAGAGAGCATAATTTATTTGCTAAAGTAATGTTCCTTTTAGAAAGCTCATCCACCATTTTAAGACCTCCCTTAAAGGCCAGCCAAGAGTAAACAGAAAATCTGAGAGAATGTTTCTTATGCCAAATCATAGAAGCCCAGTCGAAATTAGGTTCATTAGAAAAAAAACTTTGCATAATAGCCTTTGTAGGCCCATTTATCCTTTTTATCCCAGACTAAGTTTTTATTATTATCATTACTGATATTATAGCTGGCAATGTTACTTTTAATATGATGAGGGATATAATCCAATATAGGCCAATTATTATTACGAACCTAACTAGCTAGAGTTTCAAATTGAGAGCAATAATCAGAGAGAGTAAAGTCCAAAAAAGTAGAGGAAAAAGTTTCCCCAAAACTCCAATGATCCCATAAGAGAGATGCTGGAATTTCATTTTTTTATAAGAAATTGAAACTTACTGCTAACCAACAGGGCTGTTTGGCAATTGTTTTCTCAAAAAATAGTTGAATTGGTCATTCTAGACTTTCAAACAGAGATGTATCTAATTCTCAACCAATTAGAGAGAAGAGCATTCTGATTATACATTTTACAAATATTAGAGCAATTAAGAGCAAATCTCATAGCCGAGAAGGAGGGAATGCCAAGCCCACCTTTATTAACAGGTTTGCACATGTTTGCCCAAGAAATGAGGTGCATTCTCTTTTTTTGATCCCCTCCTTTATAAAAGTTTAGCACAAATTTTTTCAATACTTTGCACATTGCCTTTGGGATTATAGAAGCTCTTAGCCAGTATGCCATAGTATTGTAAATTGTATATTTCATAAATTGAAGTCTACCAATAAAAGAAAGTAACCTTGCTTTCCAATAACATAAGAGATTGTAATTTTTTCTAAAAGAGGGGAAAAATCTGCAATCTTTAATCTCTCCATAGAAATGGGAACACCTAAATAAGTGAATTTGGAAGTAGTGTTATGAATATTCAAATGATGAGGAATACCTGAGTGATTGGGAGCAATAGGAGAGATCATGAGAGTACTCTTATTCAAGTTAAGGTGAAGATTGGAGTAGTTTCTGAAGAAATTTAAGGTATTAGTAAGATAAAAGCAGTTTTGAGTTTCAACTTTACCAAAAACCAATAGGTCATCTGCATAGAGAATGTGTGAGATCTGAAAATCGTTCATTTTGAACCCCTCAAATGCCCCAATATGATTGCTATTCTCAAGAAGACATGAAAGGGAATCCATAATAATACAGATGAGATAAGGACTAAGAGGGCGGCCTTGCCTAAGTGCAGACGATGAAGAAAAAAGCCTAGAAGAGCACCATTCAAGCAAAGAGAAAAATTCACTCCTGTGATACAACCTTTGATTCATTTTATGAACAAAGGCGGAAAAACATTTTGTTCTATTCTAGCCAGAAGAAAGTCACGGGAGACTGTATCAAAAGCTTTCTTAATATCACACTTAGCACAAAAAAAAATTCTATTTATTACTTTTTTTAAACATGTTGAGAATTTCATTCGCCAAAATAGGACTATCAGTAGAGAGTCGCTGGGTAATAAAAGCCATTTGACTATTATGAATGATAAGGGGCATGCTGGGTTTCAATCGGGTAGCATACACCTTTGCAATAATTTTATAAAAAACATTGCACAGACTAATAGATCTAAAGTCATAAACATCATTAGCATAAACTTTTTTAGAGATTAGGGATATAGCTATAGCCTTATCACACCTAGGAGGATAACTTTTAATGAAGAAAGATGTGGTAGTAAAAAAATTGGGATTAATAATATGCCAACTTTTTTTATAAAATTCA